CCCCAAAACCCCAAAACCCCAAAACCCCAAAATCAATCTAAAGTTGAATGAACAAGTAAGAAGAGGTCCGATTTTAAGTATGGATTATTACTGAATCCAACTGAGCTTCAGTGAGGATTTCGGCCGCATCAGACTGAGAGATTTCACAATCCCTGAGGTTCACAGTGGCAAAGAGAACCTCAAGCATGCTGAAGTTGCCAGCCCGGTTATCAAGTTACGAAATTCGGCCAGGTTTCGGGCCCAATTGCTGAAGTTAGACCTCCCTCATTTAGTGAAATCTAGGTCTTGGATCCTGCAGTTGTCAAGAGCTTTAGAGAAATTCGGGATATGAGGGACTGATAGCGTACAAGAGTCTAATTTTAGATACTTTACGTGTCTGTAAGCTGAGATAAATCTCTTTAATTGACGCTCTTTAAATATGAAACTTGAAAGAACGATCCTATCCATAATTTTAATTCTCTGCTTGACCAATATGTTGAAATAAAGAGAGTTATGTAGCTTAATATCAGAGCTAGAAACGATTAGAGCTGTATTAGCTTTGTTTGGGAACGACAAACTCATGAGATTGAAAATGAGCTTATTTTTACTCATGATATTTACCAATCCAAAATTGCCCACATCAAAAAACTTTCAAGAATTCAATGCTTTAGTAAGAACCATAGTTTTTGGATAGTCAAATAAAAATAAAAATCTATCATTTTCGGAGTTTGAGTCTAATGGCTTTGTCTTAATTTCAGATCCTCAAGTATTATAGTAAAGATCGCAGCATCTTTTATAGTCTTGTTCTTTGCTTTCTATGATTATGGTCTCCTCCATGCTATTTCATATGAGAAACAAGCAATTAATTTATTCATAATGCCAACATTTATCTGATAAATTTAGAATGAAATTTGAAAGCCTTCAGGAGTTAGGCAGGATTTATATCTGACACTTAGGCTAACTGTGTCAGAAAATAACGATTGAGTTTCAAAGAAGATCCTCAGCAAAGCCAAAATGTCACCATTGTAGATAATTCCAAGATATTTTAAAATACTAAAAATTTGATTCTGGAACAATTGTATTAATATAAACTCTTTTAAAGTAGCAATACAACGAAGAGGAGACACATACACCACGTCTAGTTCCATATTAATCATGCTTGTACCTTCCCCTTGACCCAAGATCCCCACCCTCCATCCCCAAAGCCCCTCCTGACATCCTCCTACCCCCATGCTCACCTTCAACAAGTCCAAGGGCCCACAGCCAGTCAAATTCCCCTTCTCTATCCCTCACCTCCTACTATAACCATCCTTATTCTCTCTATTTTCAGTCATAATCTCCATTTCTCTTCTCTAAAATATTATTCTAATTTCTTTACAGAAGCGTGCCTATGGGGTTTTGGGGTTTTGGGGTTTTGGGG